GGTACTATGATTGAATTAACAGGTCTTGGAACAAGTGCTGTGTTTGGATATACGGCAACATCAGGAGCTATTTCAACCCCACCTCCATTAGGTTTAAAGTGAACTATATGAAAAGACTACTAGATTATTGAAAATTCAATAACAAGAAGTGAGCTAGAATAAATTCCCTTACGAGGTTGTCCTGTTACTACTATAGGAGGGTTGTAAATAACTCCTCTGTTAGGAACTTTGAAAAAATTTTGAAGCAGATTAACAACAACCTCATGTACTTTTGTTGCCATACCAATTATATATATGCTACCAGTTTTATTGTCAGCATTTAACTCGAAATAGAATTTATATCCCTCTGAACCATAGTTGTTAAGAAAAGTGTTATAATTTTTGATCGTTATATTCGAGCCAATTTGGAATGGCAAACTGCATTCCATACAAAGTTCACATTAGCTGGTACTTAAGTAATAAGTTAATAAATACATCTATACATTACCTGCATACTGCTAATGGCTTTTTTGGTAATTTTGGATAATTATGTACAGTTTCATCAATCTTATCCAAAATCCTTGCCCACCAAATTTCATTTGAAGTACATGCACGAGACATTTTCAAGAGAAAACTTTTTTTTAAAAAAAAAAAGTAAAAAAAAGTTTAATGTTAATAAAAGATCATCATGGTATTATGCAATAATTACGTACATATGGTATTAGCATATCAGTCAGATGACATTTCACACAATCGACATGTTAAATTTTACTATTAAAATCGAAGGAACTTTTTCATTTGTCACCCAGCATGCTAAGGTTGTGGGTGAAACCTCCTTAGTGATATTGCCGAAACCATGGCAAAACTATATTAAATCTTATCAAAAATCCTGTTGGAAATGGCGAAACCTCAAAATGTGAAATTCTGCCAAAACTCTAATAAACAATTAATGTGTAACCTGCCAAAACAGGAGTTTTGGCACACAACCTTACAGCATTCTTTGAGACATATTTTATTTCTTCGTAAAAGAATTACTCGTTGAAAGTTACGCCTTCAATTCTTAATCATGTTACAAAAAATTATTTTGAACTTGTAATTTCAATAAGACATAAACAAGAAGCCACCATTTGGTTTTTAGAAATAATATTACATCATTAGGTTGGTGAGGCATGGACAATGGAAACAAGGTCAACTTCTATGATCCACATCTCAAATGTATAATTCCTTAGTAAATAAAATAATTCTTTACTAATAAGCTTTGTTCCTAAGATTGGAATAGCTGATGATAAATTATTGGAAGAGTTCTTTATCAATAGAAAAATTCACATTATATTTTTTACTTGTAAAAGATTATATATATATCTTTTAATTCAACTATATAGTAATAGTGTTACTATCCAGGGTCCTGGTAACAGTAAAATTGGATTAAAAAACATAATACTACAACAAGTTTAACACCATTATCCTTTTTAAAATAAATTTAATGTTTTTTTAAAGATGAAATTAATTAATATACAACTTAATTATATGTCATACTTGTTCAGGGTTATGAGAAGCAGCAATCATAATGCCAATAGTTTTTGAATCAAGTTTTTTTGAATGAAAAGCTGCTATAATTCCCACACGAAAAACAGTTGAATCAAGTACTTCAGCCCTTTAATATGTAAAAAAAAAAATAATTCCACAATAATCTTAATATTTTATTTATAACAATGATAATAATTAAAAGGAAAAACTAAAAGTCATAATAAACATTTTTACTTCATTTGAAAACCTGCTGTTCCATAAGTGTAATTTATATTCTGAGGTTTAGGACATTTCCTTGATTTTGTTATAATTGATAGGATTTGACAGCATATTTATTATTGTTGTTGTTAATATTTAATAATACAATTCATTTTTGCCAAACATAAATAATCAAAAGTACACAATTTATATTACTATTACTATAACTGTCCTTTTACATAGGTTTGATCACCAACAACTTCCTAAAGAAGTCTAATTTAAAAAATTATAATGTGGGCAAAACAACAATTAAAGTGATGAAATTTGCAAAATGTCACCATATACCTATCTAACATGATTGATATTAACAGTTCTGTCTGATTTTAGGAGTGATATATAGAAAAAATATCCATTATAGAGAGAATCCATATAGTATTATAATTAGTATACTAATACTAATATGATATTAATATTAATATTAATATTAATACATACTAATGCTAATACAGTCAAACCTCCTTTCAACAAGTCCATGGTACTGATGATCGATACATGTTTTTTAATGATGATGATTGTTGTTGAGATGTTTTTTTAATTGTGTAAAAATTTAATAAAAGAAAACTTCTAGAGCTTCGAACGAGTCGGGTCGGGTCAACAGGTCACAGATTATGAAAATTACAAATGTAGATATATTAATTGATTTAAATATATACAGTACACACAATATGTTCACTATTACTGCCCAACTTCATTGCTTGTTTATTTACATCAACATCAATTTTATTTTTATGATTCTTAAGATGACGACTTAAATTTGAAGTAGAGCCACTATACATGAAGTCGAAATTAAAACCCCAAAGTCGAAATGTTTTGACTTGAGGAAACTACATAGTAAAAATCAGTT